CTTAGCACCCCCACTTTGTCCGATTGACCTGAAAATGGTCTCAAACGACGCAGATTCATTTGCTCACCTTTGCTCAGCCCTTAGTTTTCGTTGCTCACCTCCCCCTTCCCCCCAAAATGAAGGCGGCATTTTGGGGGACATCAAAGGCAGCACCCCCACTTTGTCCGATTGAGCTGAAATTGGTGTCCAACGACGCAAGATCAAATGTTCACCTTTGCTCAGCCCTTAGTTTCCGTTGCTCACCCCCCACTTCCCCATACATAGAACTAAAATTCTCCAGGATTTTTCATATACGATAGCAGAAGATTTGGTTCAAAATTTAAAGTCGTAAATTTGGATCGTTTCTCATGGAAGAGATGAAATTCGAACGGAAATTTTGAAACACCGCAATGGAGATACGTGGTTTCGCACTTCAGTCGGTGCGATACGGACATCCATCAAGTTTAAATAGTTGCATCAAGTCCCCGTCACCGCCGACCAAGGCGTCTGTCGATCGAATCAACTACAGGTACTACGAGTAGGGACTCAAAACGCCTTCAATTTTTTGAACGCAATACGGACATCCGTCGAGGTTGTATAGTTGTATCAAGGCGCCGTAGCAAACGCGTCCCATTGTTTATCGTAACAGACGAATATAAGTTGAGAGAGGAAAGTCATAATGCCTTCAATTGTATACCTACATATATATTTTTGGGCAAAATGAGAGACGACGTTTCTTCATTTGCGACGTTGCAGATTTCCTTAGAAATTCTATTTTTCTTTTGTGAAGCTGGTCAACATAAAACTCAAATTCTCCATGATTTTTCGTATTCGATAGCAGAAGTTTTGGTTCAAAATTTAAAGTCGTAAATTTAGATTGTTTCTCATGGAAGAGATGAAATTCGAACGGAAATTTTGAAACACCGCAATAGAGGTACGAAAACTAAGGGCTGAGCAAAGGTGAGCAAATGATTCTGCGTCGTTTGAGACCATTTTCAGGTCAATCGGACAAAGTGGGGTTGCTAAGGTCAATGACCTCTCTGAAAGTTCAAGTTCGATTTTTGGGGGATACATGCCTCAGCAAAAAAAAATGAAAGCGATTTTCGAGGTAAGCAAATGATGAGCAATGATGAGCAAAAGAGAAAATTTAAAATTTTAAAAGTCGGGGAGCTAACTTCACAGCCATCAAACAGAGGACTACTCGGTATAGTCGGTTAGTGGAAACTCCACAGATCATGCTTAGGTAGCTACATTTTTTGAGAGTAAACGATTTTAACGATTGGTAATGAATAAATTTATTGAAAAAATCAAAATATTTTTCAGAACACTGTCTATGTCGCAACAAAAAATCAGTGATCGTTAATTTCATCACCACGAGGAGGAATAAGCCAAGCAAAGAACGACTCCTTAAAGTGGTTTTGACGGGAATTGGACAAATCATGCTCAGATATCCAAATTTTTTTCCGGTTTCAAGGGCTGGCAAATTTTGAATTCGTTCATGAAACAATCAAAATATTTTTTGGAACATTGACAATGTCGTAACAAAAAATCAGCGATAGTTTACTTAATCGGCACATTAGACCAGGCTGAAATTAAGTTAAGATGCAAGACGAACAGCAAAGTACGCCCAGTTAGTATCATGCAACGAACGCTGAACGAATATCATCATAACACCTGGATGCAACTATTCGGCCTCTACGGTTGCCCGTGTTGCATACACCAGAATTGAAGGCGTTTTGATTCTCCAGCTACTGACCGCTAGCTTGAACTGCACGACACTACGCGGGCAAACGTTGCATGTCGTGATACTCACATTCTACGCCTGACTGCATGTGTTTGTGTCAAAAGAGATATCTATTTAGTAACAACGAAGAATAGAAGGCGCTTTTGGCTGTTTGGACTTTTCAGGCACTCACCACCTCACTCGCGGTGGGCTGCACTGCGAGGATCCAAAATGATGGAGCGCCTTCCGTTTTCGTTTTTTACAATAAAGAGGCATCTCTTTGATTCGAACACATGCAGTCAAGTGTAGGATGTAAGTATTGCGACACGTAACGTTTAACTTTTCCGCGCGCTGTGTCGCAGTTCAAGTGGTAAGTAGCTGGAGAATCAAAACGCCTTCAATTCAACAACACGTACGTCCTACACACGGACGTATGCGTCACGGCGTATGCAACACGGACGTCCGTAGAGGCCGAATAGTTGCATCCAGGTGTTGTGTTGATATTGGTTCAGTGTTCGTTGCATGCGACACTGACTGGGCCACTGGGCGTACTTAGCCTGTTCGTCTTGCATCTTAACTTAATTTCAGCGTGGTCTAATGTGCCGATTAAGTTAACTGTCACTGATTTTTCGTTACGTCACTGTCAATGCTCCGAAAAATATTTTGATTGTTTCAATGAATTCAAAATTTGCCAGCCTTTGAAATCGGAAAAAGTGGATACCTGAGCATTATTTGTATAGTTCCGGTCGAACCACTTTAACGGGCAGTTTTTTTTTATATTTTTCCTCCTTTTCGACAAATACTTTCGATTTTTAAGTGCGGTATTCGCCCTATGGTCAGTTAAGAACCTGGGTAGGCAAAATCGAAAGTCTCGAGAAAAATTATTCTTTAGATACTGATTCCTTCAGAGTCATCGGATTGGAGCACCAGCAGACCGGATTAATAAAAGGCGAATCAATGACGAAGAATCCATGGAAGACCGGCTTAAATAACCTTGCATAAAATTCTAAATGAGGCGTTGACAAAAATCAAGAGTATGTATCTTCTATAGTTTTCTTTCATTTAGAATTTGCGACTTTCTACAACCTTCATAAACATATTCACTAAACTTTCGTGCTCGCTCGTTTTTTAGATGACTATTATTTCATATCAAGCATTTAAAAATAATGGTACTTTGCAATCAGATTTTTAACTTAGAACTTTGACATTTGGGTGAATAAATAATCTAAAATTGCAGTTATCTCTGTGAGATATGATAGCAGGATCACAATATGTGAGAAAAAAATTGCAAAAAACGCGATTTACGTGACCTGCTTCAATGATGACATGAGAGGTAAAGAATTGTATAAATGTAGTTCTTGGTCTTGTGATCACTGCGATTTCAGTTGACTCTTTTGCCATGTTAAGGAAGAACACCGTATGAACACTCGGGAGTTGCAAAATTTCCCAGGATAAAACACTCATTTTAGAAAAAAGTTATATATGGATATTTTTTCCTGGAAGTTTCAGCTATTTTCGATTAAATTGCGAACAAAATTGTGTGAAAATTTCTCGGAAAAGCATTCATAATCTTCCCTGTAAATTCGTATCCTACTGGAGGGAATATGGCAACGTCTGACGGTTCATACGGCGTTCTTCCTTAGCACGGCAGTATTGCGGAGTCACTCTCAAGGAACTTGCCGGATATTTTCAGCATAGTTTATTAAAGAAACAGCGAATGTAAGACCCCAGTTCCCGAGAGAAAACTCTCTAGTATATTTGTGAAAGGGGGGGGGGCGTCGAGCAGGGCCTCCACATTGTTTCTCCCAGGCCCCCCACATCGGGGGGGGGGGGGGTTGTCGGGACTCCAGCCCCGGGGCCCGGTAGAGCCTCCCAGAAGCACAAAAGTTTCCATTTGTATTACTAATCTGCCGGCGAAAGTAAAATAATTTTGTTGATTGAGATTTTGCTCGAGGCCTAGACAAGCTTGCGTCGGCCCCTAGGATAGGCTATCTTTTGCCAAAACTTTTTCCCCATCTAATTTCCGATTTATATTTTTTCTTTGTGTGCAATAAGCTGAATTTTTAATATGTTTTTATCCCTTCTATTTTCCTTTTCTTTCATCAAAGGTAAAATTTCACCCGAGTCAGAACTGATTCACTAGTTCACTTCAGGTACTAAAAACCTTTTAAGTTTAAAATGATTTTTTTCTGTATATATAAAAAAAAATTACACGTCCAATGTTGTTTTTTTTCATAGCGGCTCATTACAAATTTTCAAACAACTGCAATTATTCTGAGATTTTGAAAGGGCAAAAATCTTGCATAAACTAATCTGAATAAGTGCGGAAATAGCATGAAATTACTCAGATTGGAGGCAAAATTTTAAAAAATTTTCGGGGGTGGCCCCCCGATCCCCCTCCTGCTAGGAGTGGTCCCCCACCCCCCTTAGATAGTTTACTAAAAGGGGGCCGCTGACAGATCCGACTCCGAGGCCCCCCGTTGGATGTGGGGGGCCTGGCGTCGAGGCAAATGCCATGTACGAGTAATTATTTTGAGGGCATTGAGCAACGTTACGATCGCGTCACAAGGGGTGGGTGGGCGGGTGTCAAAAAATCGGAAAAATTGCGTTACGTTATTCATGGACAGTCCTTCCTCTTTTAAGTCACTCGAGGGTCCGTATTGACGGACAATAAGTCTGTAGTTATCTTATTACGCAGTTTTATCCATCTATACGGTTCAGAGGAAACGTGATTCAGATGAGATCCATGAATATTTCGGAGATAAAAACGGTAGGAGTCTAAAAACTGGGGGTCTACCGCCGAGATGCCAAGTGTACCAACTTTACAACAGCTTTGCTTTGATCAGACTCACAATCAAACCTCTCCACTGTCTCTGTCTCCACTCTACGACAAAGAAATGTTTTTCTCCGTTCGTTCGCGCCACCACTTTGTTCGTAGCAAGACCAATCTACACAGGTCAGTCGTTGCGCATTTTTTTGAAATCCACTCCCCGCCTGGCGTAACTCGGCGGCAGCCAATCTGACGTCACACTGGCTGCTCCAATAAGAAATATATTGCAGGCAGCCATTTATACGTCATTGCGCAGTAGAGTTCCAAAACTCGTCGTCGGGAATGACTGACCTGTGTAGATTGACCTTGGCTTATGTTTATAGCCAGAGCCAGTGAGCCACACGGGTCACGTGATCAATCCCCTCTCCCCCCTCTCCTAACGTCGCGTCTTATCGGGGCAGCTGGGGAGGCTATCAGCTATCGGGGCCCCCGACTTGGAGACATGATGATCGCACGTCCGCTCACAGAGCAGCGCAGCGCACGCTGACCAAACACCAGATATTTGAATGAAGTTCAAGCGTGTTGAGCTGTCGATGTCCACGCCTTCTTTAGTTTGCCTAATGATCTGTGCGTCGCTCGTTAATTAGAAGTGTTTCGATTCTAGTGCTATCCAATCAAACTAAAAATAAATAGTTGAATAAATGAAGTTTAATCAATTAATAACGCGAAGTTCGTGGAAATTAATAATGTAACCAAAACAGTGACCGAGTTATGTGAAACTCTCGGCCGGTATGTCACCAATGTATTCCCAAGTAGCATTTTTCAACGGAAAAATCGCGATTTTATCGCCGATAAAGTCGCGATTATCCTCGATTTTATCGGCGATAAAATCGCTAGGATCATCAACATTTGAGCGATTATCCTCGATCTTTTCGCGATTTTATTGCGATTTTATCGGCCCGAAAAAATTGCGATTTTATCGCGATAAGATCGAGGATGATCGCTCAGATGTTGATGATCCTAGCGATTGATAAAATCGCCAAAAAAAAGGGGTTAAAGTTGTCAGCCGATTGCCGTTAGGTTCAGCCGTCAGGTCCTTTGACGAAGACGAGCGTAAAATCCCCGGAGCCTCCGCGGGGATTCGAACCCCAATCGCTACGGTGGAAGGCCAGCACATTGTCACTATGCTATGACCGCTATATGACTTGCGTGTGCGAATTGAAGCCTCTTATACATGGATCGGCGCTTCGCAACCTCACAACTTATGTCTTTGCGTTGACTGACACCGATTTTTCATTGGTTTTTTTTTTTTTTTAATTTTCCCTCCTCTGTATTTTATTTCATACCTTGAAATACGGTTGGTAAAATAAGGTTCTATTGGTAATCTCATCATTCTGTCTCTGTAAAATTACCAATAATAGTGAGATGGCAAAGTTACCGATGGACCTTGGGAAAAACGCCAATAGTTTTTATCGACTGTGGTAGAATTACCGAGATAAAATGGTAAAGTTACCGGGGATTGATTACCAATAAAAGTGGTATTCTTACCTGAAAAAATCCGTAAAAATACCGGTTTTCAGGTAAGCTTACCAGTCTGTCTTTGTAACATTATACTAATAATTGATAAAAAAAAATGAGATGGTTAAGTTACCAACGGATCTCGGTAAAAACGGCGGCGGCGGAATAGAAACATCTTTCATATGCGTCATTCATGCGTTAATGAAAAATTGCAATTTATTGCAATTTTATCTCTATAAAATCGCGTTCGATAATATCGCGATTTTGTTGCAATTTATCGCGATTTTTCTCCCGATAATAGTGCAATAAATCGCGACGTCGATAAAATCGCGATACATTCTCCAATTAAATCGCAATTTATCGCGATCACTGCTACTTGGGTTATTGTACACACTGTACACACGGTGCTTAACGAATCAGTGCAGTGGTGCGGAATCCGAGGTTAAACACCGGGGTGTCCCTTGGAAAAACATTTAGAATCTTCATCGTGCCTTCGAATTTGGGGGACATTGAATAAGTTTGACCCACTCCTTTTGCTATTTTTTGTCTCACATTTACAGAGTGGAACAAAATTAATTTTCATCTTAAAAAACGAGGCATCACACCCAAAGTAGCAAGGTACAATGAAATCGAAATAAAATTGCGATTTATTGCAATACATTTTTCTTACCACGAAATTTCAATTTTTTTTTACATCATTTGATCAATGCGTGCCGATTTGAAACAATCAACAAAGGGAGTTTTGTGGGCTAAAAAAATAGGCATTATGCATTGCAATGAAAAATTGCGCAATTTGTTTCAATTTCATTGCAGTAAATTTCAACAAGCTGTGTGCCTTCAATCAGTAAATAGGCAACGCGCACAACACTGCAATGCTGTTGCAATGATTGGACCGCGTTAAGCAGAAAGGAACTACATTTTGCAATAAGGAACCACTACTATTCCGGCTCATTTTAGAAACAACATATATGCCATTAATTTCCCTATGCAGATTCGTGCTTTTATGGAAGAGCCAGAAATAGTGGTCCATTATTGCAGAATGTAATTCAATTGAGGTAGGCTCTTACGTTAGATAGGCGGCGACATATCGACGATGAAACTGCAGGGACGCCTACACTGAAAAAAAAAAACTCCGGCTGTGGAAACCTTACTTACGGGCTATAGACATGCCGTGTGTGTTTCGGGCTCAGAGGCCGAAAGTTCCGGGCGCAAAATTCGGAGCAATCGAAGCTACGGCTCCAGCACCCGGAACTTTCGGCCTCTGAACCCGGATCGGACGGTATGTCCATTGTCCATGTAGACCGTAAATTTTTTCAATGTATCTTGGTTTGTGCGGCAGGCTTCCTGTCTCTTTTCTTTTCTTTCGGTCTTTCTGTGTGAGGAGTAATCCATAAAAATGTTGAGGAATAGCAATGGTTTGTTCTCTTTTGATCAAGTAAAATGGGAGCGGACGTTTCTAAACACCCCGAATAAGATACACGTTCCTGAGGTCTCGCCATTCGGTATCTCGATGGCTATTTCGATGGCTACAGTGCGAAACCACGTATTTCCCTTATGCGATATGTCTCCAAAATTCCCGAGCTTCTATCTAATTTTTCGAGGAGAAATAAACCAACTTCATAATTGGAATCATAAATATAGAGCATACTTTGCTGACAAAAAAGAAACGTCAAGGAAATTTTAAAGAAATTGCGTTGACTGCTTTTTCAAAGAAAAATTAAATATCGACGGTGTAAGTCCCCTGGTAAAAATTGGCTCTGTGTTCTAAAATACCATAGACCTAAAGCCGGCTGTAAGGTTTTCAATAGCTTCTATAGCCGGCTGCACAATTTCTTATAGCCTTTTATAGCCGATGGCGATTGAGCAACAGCCAGGCGATAAAGTGTATGCTAAATGTTACTTATTACGGATGCTAGGACTGTTTTTGGATTACCGCTCTATTTTTGGGCCGTAGTAACTTGATTTATTTTGCGCGGAAAGCTCCGTACTTTTGAAGGATGCCTGCCATTCCTAAAATGTTGGAGCGCCTTCAATTTCGTATGATACTGTGCAATACCTCTGGTGTGAAATAGTTGCTTCAAGCGCCGTGGCACGCTGCGGCGTGGCGGGCGGGCAGCCAGCGCGAAAAGCGCCTTAGCGCCCACAAACCTAACAGGGATACTTCACGCATTGCGCCATGCGTGAAGTATCCATGTTAGGTTTGTAGGCGCTGGTGCGCGCTCATCGCTGGCAGCACGCCGTTTCGCTCTGTGTTAGGCTCCAATATAATCTTGCGGAGTCAGCGTTTTTCAACTCATGATTTTGAAATTTTTGCACATCCTGTATGGATTATTCTCATTTTAATTGATGAAAAAAAATATGTATTAACGGCAAATATAATGTGTGTTTTGTGAATATTATGGTGGTTCCGTATCATATTTAATGATTTTCAAAGCACACGAATTTCTACACAATTTCTTATAGCCTTTTATAGCCGATGGCGATAAAGTGTAAAGCGCGGCAATAGGAACTATAGCCCGGCTGCATACTTTTTTATCGCTTCGTGTAGCTCGGCTATATGATTTGCTCCGCTTTCTACATCCAGCTATATGATTTTCTATTGCCTTCTTTAGCCGGCTATAAGAATTCCTATGGTATTTTGAAACGCAGCTCCTATCGCCAATTTTTACCAGGGTCGGCAATCACATAACTCGGTTTGCGACGTCGCGTCGCTGACTTCTTTTCATACTTCATTTTCAACGGGAAACTACTCAACAGAAATTCTTGAAACTCCCGTGATTTTTCTTCTCTGCGCGAAGAAAATTCTGCAAAAACTTCAAGGAATGCTGTCAATTCGTTCCCCTTTAAAAACATACAACATAGAGGCGGAGATTTTCAGACACCGCAAACGAGATACGTGATTGCGGACTTACGCCGTCGATATGACAGACACACTGAAAAAAAATTCTCGGCGTTTTTACCACGGTCCGTTGGTACCTTTACCATCTCACTTTTTTTTACCAATTATTGGTAATTTTACCAAGATAGACCGGTAAGCTTACCAAAAACCGGTATTTTTACTGTTTTTTTTTTCAGGTAAAAATACCACTTTTATTGGTAATCAATTCCCGGTAACTTTGCCATTTTATCTCGGTAATTCTACCGCAGTCGATAAAAAATATTGGCATTTTTACCAAGGTCCCGTAAAATTACCGAGAAAGTTCAATAATTTTACCGAGATTTCTCGGTAAAATTACCAATTCCATAAATGGTAATTATACCAAGAAAAAACTGGGATCAAATAGGACCCTGAATTCTTGGTAATTTTACCCTTTTCTTAGTAAATACACCGAGATTTTTTTTTCAGTGCAATCGCAGTGTCGCAAATCGAGGCACGTGGCTCCGCACTTTGGTCATCTATATTTTCTCTGACTTCAAAATTTCTCTTACAGAAAGTGTTGGAATTCTTTATAATTTACGCAGCTAACTTGTCGAACTCTCGTCTATCGTCGCCTACCGCGGCGTAGTGCTATTCTGGGTGGCAGATCGTAGGATTTGAAAAAGGTGAAATGCACAAAATTGCGCTTCTCTGCGTCATTTTGTGCGCCGCTGCGCCAGGTCAATCCGTAGATAAAACTTTAGAGCCCAAGGCCCACGGTCGTGATGTGGTCGAGGCGGTGGTGGACCGAATTCAAAAAAGTAATGTGTTCTCCGACGACAAAGACTACCTGCGTCGTGTTGCCTATGTGGAGAGCAGGTTTGGTGATCACAGTAGCACTTACAGGAGCGGCTACTACGGAGGGATCTGGCAAGTTGACTCCTTCAAAGCAACGCAGCAGGACTGGGCAGGCGACGTCACGAGTCCCGCGCTGAAGAAGATCCATAAGGATATCAAAGAAAAAATGGACATCGATTGGATGCAGGTATTTTTTTTTCACTATTCTTCCCTTAGTAAACAGACCGAGTTGGCAGCTACGAGTCCCTTTATACTGAGAGTAGAGTCCCTTTATACTGAGAGTCAAGACAATGTGAATCCATTTCTGATTGGTTCCCGTATTTCAGGCCTCCATAGTGTCACAAACGAGAATAAAGATTACGTTTTCACCAATTGCAAATATTATAATCTGGAATGGATCGGGGAATTTGGGGATACGGTAAGGAACAAACGGAATGAGAGAAACTTAAAAACCTTAATTTCCATGTAAATTTATTACTGTTACTGCCTTCTTTAGAGGTGTAAATGGCCTTAGATGCTAAAGCACCGCTTTAAAATAAAATTATTTTACTACTACTACCTTCCTTCCTTCCTTCCTTCCTTCCTTCCTTCCTTCCTTCCTTCCTTATTCCTTCCTTCCTTTCTTCCTTCCTTCCTCCCTTATGGCCTTAGATGCTAAAGCACCGCTTTAAAATAAAATTATTTTACTACTACTACCTTCCTTCCTTCCTTCCTTCCTTCCGTCCTTAGACGATTACTGATCATGAACAGCGCGGTCAACTATTCGTCGTTCCTATCTTCGGCTGCGGGCCGATTGTTAAAATCGTTAGACAAAGTGATAGACAAAAGGGGTATGGAGGGATCCTATTGGTGGAAGCGGGTAGTAGTTGCCATGGCCAAAGGAGGAGGGCAGTAGACTAAATTTTGGCAACCCAATAGATACCCTGTAGTTAGTCCATCATTTTCTCCCTAAGTTTATGGGAACCACTCACTTCAACCGATTGGATCTTTTTTGTCTATCGCTTTGTCTGTCAATTTCAATAATCAGCTCACTGTGCTGCTCACGAAGCCCTTAAAGCACCATCACAAAAAGGACAAACCAATACGACATGGAAATACTACAAGGGAAACGACACGCAGTTTTAACGGCGCAGAGATACAACTATACGTGCTTGATGGATGTCCGTGTTGTATCTGCAAAATTGAAGGCGCGATGGCACGAGTCGTGGACTCCTAATGATCCGTGAGCTGTCGCTCAGATTTCGGAGATCAGTTTTAAAAACGAGTGTCAAAGCATCAAATATCGACTGTGAAAGTACAAGGCCACGTATCTCGGTTTGCGACGTTGTAGATTTCCTGTCATACTTTATTTTTTAAGTGGAAAACTACTCAAAGTTAATTCTTGAAAACTTACCTGTTTTTTCTTCTCAGTGCGAAGAAAACTCTGTGAAAATTTCAAGAAATTATATTGATTTGCTCTCCTGCCAAAAAATAAAATAGTATCGGAGATTTTTGAACACCGCAAACTAGGTACGTGGTCTGGTAGTTTCACCGTCGATATGCGAGTTTCGGTAGCATGCCAAATATTATTAGACTTGAATAAATGAGAGAAAATAGATTATGGGAGAGCAAGATTAAATTAAGTGAAATTCCAAGGTTCAAATTATTGATCAGGTTATATTGAAATTAAAAGTTCCTTAAATCCAGCACATGAGAAAACTATGGTGTGTGCGGACATAGTGTTTAATGGATGTCCGTGTTGCATCTGCAAAATTTAATGCGCAATGCTTCACTCCGTGCTGCCACTGGGGTGTCGCTCAAATTCGGAAGAAAAGTTTTTTTAAAAAAAACGAGGCCCGTATACGTCTCTCCTATCATCGGCTGTGCTGCAACGGAAGCAAACACCATATGGAAGCAGAGCGAGGGAAGCGGCGAGTGTTGGTAACAGCACAAAGATGCAACTATTCGTGCTTGATAGATGTCCGTGTTGTATCTTCAAAATTGAAGGCGCGATGCAATGGCGCGAAGCGTGAACCGGCAATGCTCCGCCCTATGCCATCAATGAAGTGTCGCACAGATTCGGGAGAAAATTTAAACAAGTTGGTTTTTGCAATCGCTAGCGATAGCAATATTCGTCATGGGAACTTTTGCTTCTGGGATATGAAAATGTTAAGGTACAGTTCGTTTGTAGTATCTTCAGAATTGAAGGGGCTATGTAATTTTGTGTCGACATCTCTTTTTTAACATTTTTAATTTTTTTTCTTTGCATACAAGAAAGCTGTTATTAACCAATTATTTATTTTCGTTGGATTATGTATGGTTTTTGGAAGTTACGCATTTAACTTTCAGTTTCGTTTTTTCGGCGTAAAGTATGATATTTTTACTCTACGCATATGCCCAAATACGCATCATAAGTGACCTATGTGCTTCCTAAGTTCCCATTTTTTTCATTCAAATAGATGTAACTGAAATGTTAGATGTGTACTACCTATACTACTTTCATGTCATTGCTTTATTTATTTATTTATTTACTTTTTGCGTAGGTATAAATTGTTATTTTTTGCTGAATTTTGGAAAAAATATTGCTTTAAGAACGTGGAATGTAAATTAATTTTATTGAAAAAAGAAAATACCATCATTAATTTGGGCGAACAGAGAAAATACAGGGTGTTCGAAAAGTCCCCTCCCCCCCTCTAACTTTTGACCTAATTGAGGTAGAGATTTGAAACTTGGAGGGTGTTTCTAGATCAAAGGGAGCTACTTTTTGACCCCCCCCCAAAATTTTGGGGGGGCCCCATTTTTGGGGGGTTACGGACCCTAACTTTTAATTTTCAAATGGGAAGACCCCCTTTGTGATACCTCGTTCGAAAGAGCATAAAAAAAGAAAATTTTTCGCGCAAACCGGAAGTCATTATCTCAAACCGTTTCAAAATGGCGGCCGGTCAAAGTTCCAAATGGCCGAAAATTGGCACCTCTGCTATTTGCACATGGATTTGCTTAAAACTCGGTATCTGGGGGTATTTAGGCACGAGAAAAACGAATTTAACGTTAGATTTTCAAAAAAACCCTAATTTTCCAAAATGGCGACCGGTTTAGGCTCAAAAAGGCCGAAAATTTTACAGAGTCGACGGAGTCGATGGAGTCGACGCAGCGAGGCAATGTCATCGAGCCCGCTAAAAATATTTTTTCATATGGTTTAAAATTTTTTTTTAAAAAAATAATCTAAAAAAATTTCTGCAAGCTCAGTCTACTCCGTCCTTCCAGGAAATGAACGAAAAAAATTGGGTGCCATTTACCCCCAATACAGACCTGCCTGCCATTTTTTGGTTCAAGAGCTGTATGTAGCCTAAGATAGCTGAATGAAAAATATATCTTCCAGCGGCCAGAAAGTACTTCAGAGGAAAGTTGCAGTGGTGAGGCGTGAATGATCGATTATCTGTATGTATGTATGAGCCGCTTTTACGGCGCGCTAGGGCGCTCTGCGACGCCTATTCTCCACAGGAATCTGTCATGGTAGAGATCCTCCGGAAGCTAGCATCCCTCCATCTCTTCATGGATGCCCTCTAGTCCCTCTACCCACCGTTTGGCTGGACGCCCTCTCCATCGCCTACCTGGGGGGACCCACTCCAACACCTTCTTCGGCAACCTGGTATCAGCCATTCTCTGCACAATGCACATGCCCATACCATACCAATTGCTTGGTCATAATATCGTGCACAATCGTCCCCTCAACGCCCATTATCTCTCGGACACGTTCATTCCTGACACGTTCTCTCCTCGAGATTCCAGCCGAATCGATTATGTATTCTCCTTATTTGAACCTATGGTAAAGAATCGACTTTTAAGGTGTTCGTTGCGAACATCCTGTTTATCGATCCTTTACTATAGGCTTAATGGCAGATCAATCGATATATTGCGAAGCACGCCACGCCACTGGAAAGTGGCAGCAACGGACACGGGGAGGAAGCAATTCCACGTAGGTGCCAGAACTGCCGTGCTAAGGAAAAACGTAGTATAAGCCGTTAGGCAAGGTCACATTTCCCGCGATGAAATACGAATTTTCAGGGAAACTGTTAAATATTTCCTTCAAATTTTTATGACAAATTTAAGGACTCGCAATTTGATTTTAAAGTATGTAAAAATTTCAAGGAAAAATATTTAATTCATTCCTCAAAAATTAATGATGTATTGAGGGGAACTTGGAAAGTATCGCGGGCTGATTGTTGGAATGGATAGACAAAGCTATAGACAAGGAAGACAAAAGAGATATGGAGGGATCCTATTGGTGGAAGCGGGTGATTACAATGGACAATGGAGGTAGGTAATAGACTAACTAACGGCAAACCCACAGCAGACCTTATAGTTAGTCCATCATTTAACCTCTTAATCTATAAGAACTACCCATTTCAGCCAGAAGAATCGCTTCATACTCCCTATGTCTTCTTTGTCTATAAATTTCAATAATCAGCCCGATGAAGGCTCGTATGACGATTTTCCTTAGCACGGTAGAGACAGGGTATGTGCTCCCTGACCCGAGTAGCAGTGGTAGCGATAAGCTGCGATTTAATCGAAGAATATGTATTGCGATTTTATCGACACGATTTATTGCAATATTACTGGATGAAAAATGGCTTTAAATTGCAATTTTGTCGTATAAATTTGCGATTTCATCGACAGGGATTTATCGCAATATTACCGAACGAAAAAACGCGATAAATTGAAATGAAGTTCCAATTTTATCGAACGCGATTTTATGGAGATAAAATTACGACAAGATCGAGGACAATCGCTCAGATGTTAATGGCCCTAGCGATTCTATTGCCCAAAAATCTTATAAATATAACAACTTCATTTCAAAATATCGAGCTTTTTCCGTTGAAAAATGCTACTTGAAGAGTGCAGGGATGGCGTATCGAGTTACGATACCTACGGCATGAGATTTTACCTTACGGAGCATTTCAGCTTTAATTTTATTCTGCAGGTCAATAGAGAAGACCTACTGAAGCCGTTCTATTCGGGGCTTGCCGCTAGAATCTACATCGCGTTGACGGAGAAGTCCCGCGGTCCGATCCCGGACGACATAGCAGGCCAAGATCGATACTGGAAGGATTGGTACAACACGAAAGCAGGCAAAGGGAAGTATGGCGACTTCGAGAGTCGCGTGCGCGAAATGCTCAAGAAGGACATGACCCGTAGCGGCGGGCGGATTGACCTCATGATGGTCATCGATGGCAGCGGTAGCATAGGTTTGTCACCAAACACGTAGATCGTATTCTATAAAAGCCATAGAGTACATAGAGTCGTAATGTAAGTGGGTGTGCTGGCGCCACTTTTTAGTCCAGTACCACATGTACAAATAAGAGGTCCCGTGTGCAGCTTCGTGGGTAAAATTGTTGTGATATGTCATTCTCTTCTTTAGGATGTCTAGAATCAGAATTTCGATGGTGTCAAGTTCAAAAATTGAACCGACGCCCAGAATTCAAGATGGCGTCCAAGATGGCCGCCGCCATGGTGAAAGTTTTAAATTTTGCGGATAGCGTCGAGTCAGATGTCGATTCCTATGTAAAATGACACGAGGAATCCGAATATCACATTTAAAAACACCCCCGACCCAAAGGAGGGCTCCAAATCCAAGATGACGGCCAAAAATACCACTCAGGGGTACTAATTTGCCTATACGGGCCCAAGTGCATAGTGAGGTATCAATTATTAGATTTTCGGGGTCGTAGAGTCCGAAAATGAGGTCCATTTTTCGCTGCGGCCCTCCAGAGACCCTAAAATCAAATATGGCGCCCAAAATGGCCACCGGTTTTACGGCTGAAACACCAATTTAGCGCAGCTATGATAAGCAATACGTTCAAAATTTAGTTTTGTGGGGCAAGGAGTTCGAATAGGAGATCAAATGTTTATTCCTACAAAAAATTAAGCCTCCGAATCGAAAATGGCTACCGACATGGTTGCCAGTTAGAGGCGCAGGCCGGTAAATGACTATTGATATTAAGGGGATTTGCCAAAGGAGCTAGGGGTTTCGATAAGGGCCGTTTTTCGGCCCATACCCTGAAATTCTTCAATTTTACGATTTTTTTGCTTCTTGGGAGTCTAAATTTTACGGAATGTGTCATGCTTTTGTCATTTTCGGCCTATTTAGGGGTCTAATGCTGGCCTAAACATGAGTCTGAAGGCTAATTTTTGCGGAAAATTCGGGTTTCTTGGCATTCGACGCGCTGCGCCCGCTGTTTCATAACGATCAAATATCATCGGAGGAGCAAATTTTCCTTCAAGTATGTTCATTAAGGGTGTAAGATATAGTCACTCTGGCCAACTTTCGTCGATGGCAACCCTTGTGCTCAGTATTCGAAACTCACAGGCGCCAACGCGCCAAATGCGCCTAAAACATAGGTCATTGCTTCTAAAAAAGAAGGCTCTGCGCCAACGTGGCCCTTAAAAATTGCCCCTTTAAAATCTGAATTTTCATATTAGGTGATCATTCGAAATTTTCAGCATTACAATTAGTGAGAGCTTTTTCTATTCTTCACGATTTCATCCTTAGTGCTTTTGTCTTCACCAAGTCACAGCTACCTACTAGTTCTGTTACAAAAACATCTAAATTTGCGTCTAATTTTTCACTAAATATGCCGTAATATATAGGCAAAAAGTCAATCTGGCCCCTAAAAAATCTTCAATGGCGCCTAAAATTCAGGCTTGATGCGCCCCATGGCTCCTAAAACTCAAAGGTGAGTTTGGAACACTGCTTGCGCTCATAGTGAAAACGAAATTTTTAGACTTTACTTGTTTTTCATCATTATTTAGATGGCGTCTGATTAGATCACAAATCTTAGAAATGTGTAATCTTATTAGGCGCAGTTCGAGGCTTTCATAGCGCAAATTTATCATAAAATGCAGAAAAATTACGCTTTCGTACCTTTAACACAACATACTTTCGAATTGTTGCATTTAACAAATCTGAAATTTGTTTGAAATTTTAACTCTGTTTGGACGCATTTCGAGGCTACCGTAACACAGATCTTCATGAATTTCCGCAGAAAAACTTTTTTTTTACCTTAACACGAAATACTTTCGAATTGTTGCAATCAACAAATCTGGAAATTGTTTGAAATTTAAACTGTATTTAGACGCATTTTTTGACGAAAATTTTATAAAATACTAATCAAATGAACACTGTGGTTTCATTTAAGACTCTACATCAAAAGAGATAAATATCTTCGAAGGCCTCAAACTTTTTCTTTTCTCGTCTTTCCTCATCATCTTCTGTCTCCTCTTTCCTTCACTCTTTCCCCCTTTTTTTTGCTTTCGGAGGGGGGGGGGTGGGGGGCTTGAGCCCCGTACCTGAAAGTGACATAGAACCCTGTGGGCATATCCGGGTGGTATTACCAACGGCAGGTGGACGGTAGAGTCGTGGGCTGCCCAGCGCATATTGCATCTGTCATCTAGTACCTCGCTCATTACAGATATGAGGCTGAACTAGAAAAACTAAGCGTTTGCTAGATGAATACGCGTCATTTCTCCAAAATTCTACAATGGTAGCTCCAAATGAGTTGTCTGATGGGAGGAACCTGATGAAGAGGCAACAGATGAGGAAGCGGTAAGGAGGCTAGGCAGGAGTGAACCAGGAAAACCAGAGTTTCCAATTATTTTTGGGAAGTAGAATTCTGATCGATCGCAGGCAATAAAAGTGACGGAGGGCAGGGCTTGTCAGGGTGGGTAAAAAATCAGCATTGAGAACTCGTGATTCTGACACATGGCTTACTTTTTATTCGGATCCCAGATCACGGTCAATGTTTCAAAGTTGCATCTTCGTGCGTAAATATCACGTCAAAAATTCGTAAGATAATGGGTCGCCTACAAGCCCAAGATCATAAAAAAAACTTTACCTGCAAAAAATATGATCTATTTGCATCCCTGAATACAGTAATTTGAGTCCTACGTATTTATTTAATGCGCATAATGCGAAATAATGGCTCAAATCTTGGGCCAACTCGGAATAATTTTCTCGATTTTTACCGATGATATGTGGCAATGCCGCGCCGCGATGGGAGTCTCTTTAGATAAATACATGTAATGAACAAAATAATAATAGATAAATGCATGTGCATATTCACTAGTCATGTGATCGTTACGTATGAAAAATCAAGGGTTTTGAACTTTGCTGAATGAGCTCGACGAAGAACAGCCTCCAAATACTGAAATAATCACAAATAGTTTTCTGTGATTTTAGGCAACAAAATATGGCAACACCGGCTTTTTCTTTGGAGGGGGGGGGGGGCTTTTAATTCCATAAAGTTTTTTGGAGGGCTACGTACAATTTCCGCCAAGGAATCTATTTCTGGTTTAAGATGAGTAGCCCTTTTTTATGCCATTTTAATAATAATGATGAAAAACAAGAAAATTCTAAAAAGTTCGTTTTAACTATGAGCGCAAGGGTTGCCATCGACGAAAGTTGGCCAGAGTGACTATATCTTACACCCTTAATGAACATACTTGAAGGAAAATTTGCTCCTCCGATGATATTTGATCGTTATGAAACAGCGGGCGCAGCGCGTCGAATGCCAAGAAACCCGAATTTTCCGCAAAAATTAGCCTTCAGACTCATGTTTAGGCCAGCATTAGACCCCTAAATAGGCCGAAAATGACAAAAGCATGACACATTCCGTAAAATTTAGACTCCCAAGAAGCAAAAAAATCGTAAAATTGAAGAATTTCAGGGTATGGGCCGAAAAACGGCCCTTATCGAAACCCCTAGCTCCTTTGGCAAATCCCCTTAATATCAATAGTCATTTACCGGCCTGCGCCTCTAACTGGCAACCATGTCGGTAGCCATTTTCGATTCGGAGGCTTAATTTTTTGTAGGAATAAACATTTGATCTCCTATTCGAACTCCTTGCCCCACAAAACTAAATTTTGAACGTATTGCTTATCATAGCTGCGCTAAATTGGTGTTTCAGCCGTAAAACCGGTGGCCATTTTGGGCGCCATATTTGATTTTAGGGTCTCTGGAGGGCCGCAGCGAAAAATGGACCTCATTTTCGGACTCTACGACCCCGAAAACCTAATAATTGATACCTCACTATGCACTTGGGCCCGTATAGGCAAATTAGTACCCCTGAGTGGTATTTTTGGCCGCCATCTTGGATTTGGAGCCCTCCTTTGGGTCGGGGGTGTTTTTAAATGTGATATTCGGATTCCTCGTGTCATTTTACATAGGAATCGACATCTGACTCGACGCTATCCGCAAAATTTAAAACTTTCACCATGGCGGCGGCCATCTTGGACGCCATCTTGAATTCTGGGCGTCGGTTCAATTTTTGAACTTGACACCATCGAAATTCTGATTCTAGACATCCTAAAGAAGATAATAACATATCACAACAATTTTACCCACGAAACTGCACACGGATGCACATGTGGTACTGGACTATTTAAGCATTTTCCAGGTCCCGAATTCCGAGACTCCTGTGTGACGCCGGGTCACTTTTTCGATACATAATCGATTGTCTGCGATACACGGGTACCCGGCCATCCGATGTAAACAAAGAATATAGGAATCACCACGTATTCCACATCGCCATTTTGGATCGAACATGTATCGAAAAACTCGTCGAGCAGAACATGGCGCCAGCTCTCCCATTTCCACTACGACTCTATGCACTCTATAACCTGAAACAATTTTTATTTATTTTTGCAGTTTATTTGGCTCCTATTCCAGTTTAGGAATCTACAGTCATCTATAGACAAGAGTTTAACGTAGAGATTATTTTTTATTGTCAGTAGGCATCAGGGGGATTTTGGCACATCCGTGCTTCGGCTTTCAAATTTTCAGGGATTAAGGCCGAGTAGAATCTGAATCTTCAGATCCACTCGTCAGTTCCTTGAAAATTTGTCGCCCCCGCCGGGATTCGAACCCGGGATAACCTGAAAAAGAATTTTTAGGATTTCAGTAGGAAAAGCTAAAAATGAGAAAATGCTTCACAGTTTCACTTTTCATTACCATTTTATACTCATAAGAATAAAAAATCTATCCCAAGAAACCCTTTTCCTCAAATTATTTGATTGACTTTTAAGGCTACGTTTACATGTTGAACCAATTGATATCGATTCAATATCCTCCGTTTGATGTATCGAATAAGATCCGTTACGTGTCTCAGTGTTGCGAAGGGGACCATATTATGGACATCACTAAGCAAACAAACCAGCGAGCTGATCGTTGAAATTGGTAGACAAATTTAGAGATAGACAAAAAAGACAAAGAAAGGGATGTGGAGGGGTATGCTTTAGGTTGAAGCGGGTGGTTGCGTGGTTGTAATGGACACAGGAGGTAGGTCACTCAGTTCCTTTTTTCCATCTTCCTCGTCTGAATCCTCCATTCCTTCCCTTTCTTACTAACCTCATCCTCCTCCTTCCTTCTTCTTCCTTTCCCTCCTCTTCGTCCTCTCATCCCATCTTCTTCTGCTTCCCTTTCTACCGACCTCAGAAATGTCCTCATTGGACGCATGGCTGGAGTTGTAAGACCAAGTCTGTCAGGCTAGGATTAAGAGACTTTACGAAATTGAGAAACGTGGCCATTCACTCTCAACCTCTTTTCGGATCGCAGGTAGGGATTCATTCAAGACCGCCCTGGACTCGGTGGCGGGAATGGCGGGCTCCTTCGACCGGCGGCAAGCCAACATCGGCGTGGTCGTCTTCTCCGATGGCGCCGCTGTACCGATCTCCCTCGTTAACAATCTAACCGCAGAGGAGCTCCAGCAGACCATCCAGAGCATCACCTACCCGGACGACGACACCAACACCTACGCTGGTATAATGGCCGCTGTCGGCGAGTTCCGAGCGTTACCTGCTGACCGGAAAGCCGCCGGTGTTCCGCGCGTTATTAATGTCTTCACCGACGGCAAGCACAACAGGGGACTCGACCCGGCCTACGCAGCCGAGGAAGCTACCAAAGAAGGCATCGTCTGCAACGCATTCGGTACCCTAACCTTTTTTTCCTTTTTGGGACCGTTCATAAAAAACGTAACGCTTTAGGCGGAAGGAGGGAAAAGGGGGAGGGGGAAGGGGGTCTGAGCGCTCTGAGCCTGCATGACGGGTACACTGCTGAAAAATCGTGCAGTTGAATTCGGTGCCGGGGTCTATATGGCGCCCGAAAACCCCGAGCGGTATGAATGCGAAGTGAAGTTAGCACTATGAAGGCGCATGACAATCCACGAAGAGAGTAGATTCCGCTCCGTAATAGTGTAAGTCACTCCGTAATAAAAGGAGAGAAGATTACGCTCCGCTTTCATATCACTAGGGGTTTTTATATATAGTATAGACTCGCTGGAAAACCAGAAATATTCACAAATCTCCTTAAAAATCCGTGATTTGTCGAAGAAAATTTGACAACGTCTGGAGGCTTTTACGGTGTTTTTCCTTAGCACGGCAGCACATTTGGTGAGATCAGTCAGTGCGGGGTCGTCTCTGAAATATATCGACAGCCAAACAGCGAAATCACGTCCCTCTGTTTATGACGTAGGAGACTTCCTGTCATACTTTCTTTTTTCATCGGGAAATTTGTCAACTTATAATTTCTAGAAAACTCGATTTTTCTTTTCTGTTGGTGGAACGTTCTATTGAAATTCCGAGCTGTGAAGTTGGCCATTGTTTCTCCTCGAAAAAATAAAATAGGAGCAGAGATTTTGAAACACCACGATGGAGATAACGTGGTTTAGCTTTTTATAGCCATTGAAAAATTGCCTCTGTTACTGTTAGTATCTCAATATGTTTTCAGGCATCGGTTATGAAGGCATTGATAGGAATGAGCTGGAAGCCTTCACGAGTCCAACCTCCGGACATATCTTCTCAACGCTGTCCTACGACACTTTGTCCGAGCAGATATCTCAGATCGCCCGAAAAACGAAGACGGTGCCTCTAACGCCCCAAATCGGAAGCGTCGTTAAAGAGGAAATGGCTGAAGTCGGCGACAAGCGTTACTATCGACTGGGGGTCCCGTCCAGTGGCACGACCATTACACTGAACGAAGAAAAGGGGAGTGCGCGGGGCTATTGGTCCTACACGGTGGAACAGCCCTCCAGCGCCCTCTACGACGGTGTGTTGACCAACGGGAAAACCTTCATTCCCGCGCCGCCTTCGGTGAGTTGAGTTTCAAATGGATCGGATTTTGCGGAAAGGAACCAAGAGCTTTCCAATGTAGCTAAGATTGTGCAACCTACATCATTCTTTAAAATAAAAGTTCTGAAATCGTGCAAAAAAATAAATTTACAAGGGTGATTTTCTTCTTGAATTTACAGATTATTGGGAGTAAAGACGAAACTTGTTTAAATGATCAATTGGACTGCATTTTGCAATTTGGAACTATAAATTCTGGCTCATCTGAAAAAACACTTATGTGCATAGGGAAACCAATGGCACATACGTTGTTTTTAAACCGGACCAGAATTTATAGCTCCAATTTGCAAAATGCAGTCCAATTCATTTGTGAAAGGTGAAAAACGTTGCACAATCTTAGCGACATTGGAATGCTCTTGGTTCCTTTTGGCAAAATGCAATCAAAATCATTTCACGTGAGGTTCTAAAAGGAACCTGAGATGTTGCAATACGGCAAAATGGATCACTTTTTGCAATAACAAGGCTGCCAAATTGTGTAAAAAGATCTAGTTATTTAACATCAAATGGACTGCATTTTGCAATTTGGAGCTATGAATGCTGGCTCATCTGAAAAAACACTTATGTGCATAGGGAAACTAATGGCACATACGTTGTTTTTAAACCGGGCGAGAATTTATAGTTCCAAATTGCAAAATGTAGTCCAAATGGAGAAATGTGCTAAAGTTTCAGCCAGGTGAAGTGACTCGGTAAAATTGATGGAATTTTGTAATAATAAGGTCACCACATTATGTGAAAAGATATGAATATTTAACATTGACTTAAATGGGGAAATGTGCCACATTGTCAGCTCGATTGGGCAGCAATGTGCAAAAAAGAGCTACTATTTTTTGACTCGTCTATACAAGTCGTCGTTTGGCTGGCATAAGGGCGTAACTACACTCTGCGATGAACCCTATCTTTATGTCAGCAGGGCGACAAAGTACGTATCTGCATCGGGACATCCCAAGTAGCAACTTAGAGAGAAATGATAAAGAGGACTTGAGATGAAAAGGAGAAGCCCTCGGCGCGGCGATCGGCATGTAACACATATTAGCGCCTACAAGACTGCACGAATACTTCTCGCATTGCATCAAACAGAGTGCAGTCATTGCGGTCAGCGTGAAACGGATAGCGCCTACAAGACTGCGTGCATACTTCAAGCATTGCGTCCAACACAGTGCGTTCGGCAGCGGTCGGCGTGAAACGCATAGCGCCTACAAGACTGTCCGGATACTTCACGTTTTGCGCCAAACATGGAGGGCCTAGTCCACACAGAGATACGTTTCCAAAGCTTAACTTCCGCGCAAAGTTCCGTGAACTTTTGCAAGTAGTGTTAACAGGACTTTCCCAAAAAATGTGTTCAACACGAGTAAGTGCGTCTTATACACCCCTCCCCCGCTGGCACGTTCACTTGATGGTTTTCATCGAGTTTCAAAACGAACGAGAAGGGGGTGGCAAAACACAGGCGGCCCATGAGCGGCAAGGCGGTGAATCCGGCCCTGCTAGAGAGACCTAGTATTTTCGAGACCATCGGAACACTGTTTTATTTGTCATTTTCAGTGATTAATCTAGATTTTTCATTTTTTTCGTGAGACAAACTTTACGTGACATGTATTTTTCTTCACGGATTTTTTTAATGCAGACGAAGCCGGGGCAGCGGAGGCGGAGGGACACGGAGGCAGAGAACAGCACCGAAGCAGGACCTACAGATGACGTCATAGAACGAGGCGCCGTGTTCATCGCCATCGAGAGTTTGGAGGCAGAGAACAGCACCGAAGCAGGACCTACAGATGACGTCATAGAACGAGGCGCCGTGTTCATCGCCATCGAGAGTTTGGCCGACAACACGACGGTCACGATGAAAACTGACCCGGGAGATGTCAGTGCCGCCACCAGTCTAAGCGCCTCTCACATTGGGGTTGTCATCTTCTCGTCCTCTCTCACTCTTATCATGACTCGATTGCGGTGCCTATAAATAACTTGCTTTTGATAATTGTAATCTACACACTGAGGGAAAAATGGACAGAATTCATCAGAAAGGAACCAACCCACATTCAGTTGAAACTGAGAAAAAGAGGTTTGAAGTTTCATTCCTGCACAAGGCTCAATGTAAAAAATAAACTTTAACCACTCCTCCCATAAACTAATTTCTTTCTTTCGACTTTCAGATTTTGGCAAGAGAAAATAAACAAGTAGTGGAACTCAAAAACTTTCTTAACTCAATTTTTTCGAAAATGTGGATTGGTTCCTTTCTGATTAACTCGGTCCAAATATCGGTCATATGAACCGAATGCACGGTGATCAATATTGGACGTATTGTTCGGTTCATGTAACCGCTATCTCGGTTCTGAAAACCGTATCCTCGGTTCAAGCAACCGAGCACTCAAACCGAACAGAACTAACAAAAAAGCTCGGTTGTATGAACCGAGGACACGGTTCCCAGAACCGAGAGAGCGGTCGCATTAACCGAACAATTCGGCCGATATTGAATACCGAACATTCGGTTCATATGACCGAACTCGTATTCTCAGTGTAGAGGCAATATCGAGTCAAACGACAAATTCCCATGTTGAATGAATCGATGCATGCTATAAAAGGGCGTAAGTCTCAAAATTCATGAGCCGTAGCGTCCTCCGCAGTCAACGAAAGCCAGGGCTCATGAGTTTTTGCGTTTATACGCTCTTTCAGCCGGCGTCTATTCAAATATTAGCCGAGACTGAAAGAATGGTTTTCCTTGAAAGGGGACCAAGGAACATCAGCTGATGCTAAATTTTATTGGGCAATTAGTTTTATGCTAGAGAACGGTTTTAGGAACTTTTCTGAGAATATTGCAGAGAGTTAGCATCATGCCTTTAAATATTCTCCAAAATGCTCAGGGACTTTTAATGAGAAAATAGCTGTACAAATACTCATTACCTGTAAATTTCTTTAAACGTTTCTACTCCTCGGCTTGTTTCTAAAAGTTCCTCTAGTTTTTAATATCAGCGCGTACAGTCTTTTACAAATTTTGTACCTATGTTTTATCATTTTTTTTATAGAATATAAGTTTTTTTTATCAAGTTTTCAAAAATATCTTCTGCTAAACTTTTTTTTAAAAAAAATTATCAATTATTTGTTTGTATTAGGTGTTAAGTTTGTTCTAAACCAGTTTTGTTATTTCGAATAAAAATCTTTACTTTTCTCTAATTGTTTGATTTTTAGCGTTTTCATTTTCAAGAATGACGTCTTCTCGATTAAGTTTTCTGAGTCATATTTCTGGATTCTGAATTATCAACGGTTTGATGACCAACATCCGGCTTTTTATCACAAAAGAGAAAAGATCAGTCGGTTCCCGAACGAAAGAACGCAACTTGATTCGAGGGTTGCAAAGTGACTCAAATAATTCAATTTTAAATGAGCATGTACCAATGCAATTTTTAGTCAAAATTTGTCTGTATTTTACCCGAGATGAGAAGAAAAATCAGTGGAATTTTCAGTAGGAAATGTTCAGGATTCTCGTGGTAAAATGCAATTTACGAGGGGAAATTTGGTAACTTTGAAATGTGGTTACGTTCTTTTGTGAGGAAAACGACGTACTAAGATTTGAGGTGTTCGGATGACAAAGGCGCATAAGTGCAGTTTTTGCTATTTCGAGAAATCCCTAGTAGCAGCTTTATATAAAAAAATTGTAATGAAAGTATACCACTCATCATATAACGGTTAAGTAACGGGATGTTCAAAGGAAACCGCCGTGAATAACCGTTATTAATCAAATAATTTTATAAATTGCGCGAATAACCTTTATAATTAGTTTATATAAAAATTATTTGTAAAAATTTTTTATATAACCGTTATACTTCAGTTATACATTTTTTATATAAATACGCTCTTTATAAATATTTTATAAAACCGTTATACTTTGATCATACATTTTTTATATGAATACGCTCTTTATATAACGGTTATACTTCGTATATATACTGTGAATTTAGCACTGCTACTAGGGATGCGTGTTTAAAGTTTCAAAATTATAAGAAGCCTTGTGGGGGAGGAAAAGTTCACTCTCACTTTTTGATGCTGAACAATTGAATTTTAAAAGTGGACTTCTCACAGAATTGAATCAGTGAGAACGAAATCACACCAACACAGAAAAATGAAAATAATCAAGACGTTCAAACAACTGCACAGTAGGCGAAGAAGTCAGTTTAAGAAAAAGATTTTTGCTGCCGAAAGACAAGTACTTATGGACACCTTAAAGGTCTAAATTGGAACAGATGCGCTACCTGCAATGAACTTTAAATGTAAACCAACTGTCATTAATGGAAATTGAGCATTTTGGAGTTACCGAGTTGGTGTGTTTTCGTTCTAACTGATTTAATTCGTTTTAAGACAGGTTTCAGTTGAAATCATTATAGCTCAATCCTCTAAGAAGCTGCATTTTATGCGGCTTGTCCTGTAAGCCTGTCGATTGAGACCTTACTGTAACTGACTCACTAGGCGGCGCTAGAATTAAAGTACTTTTAAACATGATTTCTTCATGAAGTATTTTGAATAACAGGATGAAAGATTTGCAAATTTCCAAAATCAACCCATATGCCACGGTAGTCGTAATGATGAGATCTTGGACATTGACCGCACCATACTGTCCCGTGTTTATTTAAAGAAAGCTGCCTAAAAAAAAGAAAAGACAAAGAAATCCTACATAGGCAATGTGACTATATGTGAGCGACTAAGGAGCTTCGAGAGACGCTTGTTGCAGACTTCCACTCCTGTTTCCAGTAGCGTGGCGTGAATGATCGATTGTCGATATTTCCCCAATTGAAGCTATGGCGAAGAATCGATTATTAAGTTGTTCGTTGCGAACACCCTGTTGATCGACCTTTTTCCATAGGTTCAAATGGCAGATCAATCGATTTATCGCAAAGCGCTCGCCACGCCACTATTTGAGCACCCATGAGGATGAATGATTTGGTATCTCCATATGAAAATGAAAGCACACGGGCATTTTCAAGAATTGACGTTGAATTGTGTTTCATTTAAAAAATAAAGTGTGACCGGAAGTCTACAACGCCACAAACCGAGATGCGTGGTCTGGTAGTTTCACCGTCAATTTGCAGTCTCTCTGCACAGAAACAAGTCTGTGGGAATATCCACTGTGTTTCTCTTACCCTTATTTTGTAAAGGTTATTATTCATTACATGGGAGACTTTCAAAATCAGCTAAAAACGCGATAGCTTGTGAGTCTACCCAGTGTGACCCAATCCCAAGTAGCATTTTTCAACGGAAAAATCGCGATGTATTGCGATTTTATCGGCGATAAAATTGCTAGGATCATCAACATCCGAGCGACTATCCTCGATCTTATCGCGATAAAATTCCACTTTTATCGCCCGACAACTTATCTATTTTCGAAATAAAAATCCCGATATATGGCGATTTAATCTCGATTTTATAGACGAAAATTGATCACGATTTTATCGGACCAAAAATTGCGATGTACAGCGATTTAATCGTCATACATCGCAATTTTTAATGCGATACTATCTCGATATATTGCCACCGATAAAACCCCGATAACCAACCGATAAAATAGCTATTTATCGCGATCACCGCTACTTGGGACGGGAAACGGAAAATGTTGCCCCGCTCCGCTTAGTGAAACGTAAAGGTGTTTCTATCAGCAGTCAGCACAGACGAGGACAGAGACAAGAGACCCTCCACTAGTATCTTGGCCATGGTGGAAGCTTTTACTTTCGGGACTTCAGCATTCTACTGTTGACTTACCTACATGGTTGATGTTCAACAACGTGTTGGCAGTTTCGTTTTGCAAACAAGCCGAAAATGGCCGACGTTTGGGGAAGTTGTTTGGCTCATGACGTCATCCGAAGCTCATCATCGACTGCTATGTAGGTAAGTCAACAGCCGAAACTAGCGTGATGACTGTTGCTCCCTAATAATTGTCCATAAGGAATTGTTGAAACCCCGAAAGTAAAAGCTTCCACCTGTCGCTATAGGAGGCCAGTGGAGGGCCTCTTGTCTCTGGACGAGGAAGAATACAGCGATCGTTTATTTAAGAACAAATCCATCGATAAATTGGCGCGGATAAAAGAAGGTGGCAGTCCGCGGAGGTGACAAAGATTGACTGCTTAGATTGAACGATTAACGATATGCCAAAAAGTAAAACTTAAATAAATTTTTTCATCCCAAATCCGCGTGATCGAAAATATCCTATCGTTGCCATTTTTTACCATGGCCTGAGTTGATAATTCCTTGCAAGACACGAGAAGCCAGTTTTGCAGGAGGTGAGATCATAATAAAGAAAAACTTCACAAATATAATGCATGATGTATCCGTCACGGCATATTCTCGGAGGAGCAAATGTACTTATCCCAAATAAATGTTTATCGACTGATAACCCGTCCGGAATCTTCAGCGGGAGCTCTGCATCTTAAGGGGGCATCGCCCCCCCCCCAAAAAAAAAATTGCATATCAAGTTCAATCCAAGATTGAACCACCAGAAAAAAGGAGTGCATTCCATGGGTGGAAATAAGAATGTTTATACGAATGTTTCATCAAAAGTGTTTTTTAAGGGGGCTACAGCTCCCTAAGTCATGGAAATTCATTCGATTTTTCTGCAAATTGACAATGGTATTGAACCGAATCTCGTGAAAATGTGTATGCACCCGTTTTAATACGTTAAATTAATCGGTCACATTAGACAAATCGAAATTTCAATTAAGAGTGGGATTTCATGGAATCAGACTTTAAAAAGCCAATAAAATGGTATTTTGGAGTATGAGGGTGGTATTTCGTGGACCTCTCCGTAACCCCACTTTTGACTGATATTCATGTCTCTAATGTCACTAATGCTTTCAGCGTATCCAAAGAATGGGCGTATGCTAATTTTCATGAGAATCGGTGCATTTTTGTTGCCAAAATGGAGGAGAAACAATTTATTTCCTTGAACTTTGGGGGCCGTAGCCCTCTTAAAAAGCAGTTTTGGAGAAGAAAAAAATTGTATTTTGACCCACTGAACATACTTTCGCAGTCTAGCAGTTACATATTGGATCACCCTGAATATTAACAAAATAACGATGGGTTATATAATTTAAAGATTCGAGACTAAAAAGAGACAGAGGCTTATTTAAACATCATTATGCATCGATAACTGTAAAATCATGTAAATGGATCCAACGGATCCTTTTATTCCCTGAATAAAAAATTAATATTTAAAGGTTAAAGGGCATAGAGTGAAATTAAGATTTTTTTAAGAGCAAATTAAGTTTTGTACTTGACGTACATACCGTCTTTATGCGTCAAGAAAATCGCGTTTATCGGCACGCATATTTTTCTGCGCTGCGTTTTAGTCTTTGAAGTGATTACTGCATTTTGTCTTCTTTGCAATCTTTCGCGTGGTTCAGCATGAGCAAATTTTTTAATAATAATGGGTCCATACGCGTCAAGCAACTCACGTTTAATAATGCGCCCACTTTTCTGCGCTGCGTTAAAGTCTCTGAAGTGATTCCTGCATTTTGCCGTCTTAGCGAAAAAGTTGAAATTGGATCCAAGTCGGAAAGTTTTTTCATGACGGTGCACAGTGGATCGAGTCTATAGGAGAGGTCGGACAAAATTTGGACACTACAAAAGCTTATAACTCCGTTTATACAATATTTTGAGGTTTTAAAAGTGATTCCATTGGTTTCTTCGTCAAATTTCCTTCTTAGGCACCCCTATTGAAATTTAAAATGTGACAAAATAAACATCAAAATTTGCTGTTTTAGTAAAAAATGTCATGTCCAACCTCTCTAATTGACTCGATCCACTGTGGGGCGTCTAAAAAATGTTCAATTTTCTTAGAAAGAAACTTACCAATATCCTCTAGATATCATCTGTGTCTAGTTTTGAGGAAAAATTTCACAGACTTTTGAGGAAACATGTTGATTACTTTTCTTCAAAATAAGAAAAAAAAGAAACACGAGCAAAGACTCGTAACGTTACGAATGGAGGTACGCATTATTCGAGCTAAGTTATCGATGGCCATTGCTTAAATATGTACCCCTAAACGCCCGTGCGCGAAGTACACGAAGAAAAACAGCATGGAGCAACGAACTAGACGCGGAGTCACTTCTGCCTGTTTATGGAGCATTTAGCTCTATTTGAAATCCATGTGGCTAACTGCTGCGTCGCAGAATGAATCGAGTCAATTAAAGAGGTCGAACATGAAATTTTTGACTAAAACTGCAAATGATGTTTATTTCGTCACATTTTAAATTTCGAGGGGTGCTTTCAGAGGAAAATTCCACGAGTAAACCAGCAGAACCACTTTTAGAACCTCAAAATTTTGTATAAAGGGAGTCATAAGTTTTTAAAAAATTCCAAATTTTGTCCGACCTCTCCCTATTGACTCGATCCACCGTGTGGTAGAATTGTAAACAAGGAGTTTTTACATTTAAAAAAAAATTGTAACTCTCTTCGTTACCTTCTTTTTTTAAAGTTAGCACACTACCGCTATTGATTTATTTTCAACCTCCTTCTCTCTCTCTTTTTTTTAAGCAGACCTGTTTTTGTCCTATCTTCTGAGAGATATGGTAAAAACTTTGAATCATCCTCAACCGCCACCCAAAAGAAAACTTTAGATCAAACCTCAAGTTTTAGTAATTTTGGACCGAAAATGGCCTGAAATTTTCGCAAAACGCTCCTCTAGTCTGTGCTGTGGTATCAAATGAACGTATTTATACCAAATTGAACTATGTCTCATGCGAACCCTATGCGCATAGTTCCTTTTAGCATAAATACGTCTAAAATCATATTAATGTATAAGATTTCTGTCAACGGATGGTATTTGGCACAAAATAATGGAAGTCAACTAGTATAGGTTGATTAATTGAATAAGTCCTTTTATTGCGACAAGATAAAATATGTGATTGATTGATAGTAGCGTCAATATTTTTGGCGTGCCTTCATTCGGTCGGATTGCTGCCAACTGAGGACATGGACGACAATGATTCAAATGCCTGAGCCAAGGAGGGCACGGCACGGAAATTTAAAGATGAAGCAGACCAATCACTTAACTTAATTCTAGCTTACGATATATTAGCTTAATTTAAACAGAAAAACAAAGAAAGTACTGATAATGGTAAGAATGTAGGTACGTTGATTTTTAAGAGGTGCCATAACATCTTCGGGAAATTCACATTTCTGAGAATTAATCAACTGCATTAAAGTATATTTACAAAATATGAATACTGTATAACATACGGATTTTTATTATTACGTAATACGTAATACGTTTATACGTTATACGTTACGTTAATACGTTTTCCGAACTTTCTAGAGCGATTCAAATTGGTTTATATTTTGCAATTAGGAACTATAATTTCTGGCTCGTCGGTGAAAACACTTATTTGCATAGGAGAACTAATGATACACACGCTGTTTCTAAGGTAGAAACAGTACTTAGCTCCTAATTGAAAAATGTAGTCCAATTTCCAGTCGTCAAACAATGCATAGGTACGAAAAAAATTATCGAAACCAAGTTCAATCATATTTTTTGTTAAAAACTGTAAGTCACTATTATTAGCCTTTCTTTTTTTTAGCTATTTCATCTAAGAGATTATCTTTCCAATGAAGTACCTACTTCTTGCAAAGTATGCTCGAAAGTACCAAATGCGTTTAACGTTTTCAACTCTTACTAGGACCTTATATACGTCAATCCATCAATGACTTATTAAATTTTAACATTATCGCAATACTAATTGCTTTGTTCATAAATGAACGTAGAGGGATACAAGAAACGAATCAACTCAGAGTAAAAATAACGCAGTTAGACTGGTTCTTTTTTAAAAAAATATTTGTCCTCCTTTTTAAGATCCCCCAACATCCCACCAACCGGCTTACAATTTCCAGTGGCGAGGCGTGACCGCGTGAATGATCGGTTATCGATATTTCCCCCATATGAAGCTGTGGTGAAGAATCGATTGTTAAGGTGTTCGTTGGGAACACCCTATTTATAGATCATTTTCTATAGGCTTAAATGGCAGATCAATCTATCGATATATTGCAATGCACGCCACGCCACTGCAATTTACATCCCCCCTCTCCGTAAATTTTACCTCCCTTTCAATACTACCAGTCCTGACTTCAAAGGGCCGTCTATAAATTACGTCGCCCAAGTAGGGGGGAGGGAGGTCTATCGGTGGATGACGGTGGGTGACAGAGAGGGAGGGGAGGAGCAAGCTAAGAATTACGTAAGCTCTCCTGAAGGCAAAAGGACGGAAAATGCTAGCTTGAAATTTTATTTTCTACTTTATTTTCATTCAAATTTCACGATTTTTTCAATAAATAATTCCAATTTCTCTCAGAGCAAATACGTTGCTTAATTTTTCAGCTAGGAATTTAGCGTGGTCTCAAACTTTTTCCTTTTTAAAATAACATATATTTAAATTCAAACATGTATTTAGTACCCACTAATAGAAATTAATCGCGCACTTAACGCGGCAGACTACATCTACTGATTTTTATCGATTTCCTGCGTTTTCTTTCAAGGGGGGGGGGGAGCTACGGATAACATAATTTTTATGGAGGGGTCTTGTAGTGGCTGATGGTTTGGAGGGAAGGGAGAGGGGGTGGGTCAAAAAATTGAAAAAAATGGGAGAAGTAATTTATGGAGGGCTCCTAACCTAAACTTGACTGTGAACAATTAAATCAACTTTAGAGGAATGGGTCTGTTGCACCCATGACGGATTGCAGGCGAGACTGGAGCTACGTTTCCTAGAGAGTCTTTTCCTGTGAACAATTAAATCAACTTAGAGAATGGGTCTGTTGCACCCAAGAGGGATTTGCAGATTAATGACTCATTCTTAAGTAATTTTTCACGAGAAAACTGATGGTGTGCTTAAAAACACTCCAAATTCGATATTAAAGCTGCAAAAACTTAATAAAGTTCAAAGTTCCAACGGAGGCCTCTCATTGGTCGTCTACCAGTCGTCTACGTCACAACCTGGAAACGTTTCCCGCCGTTCGCGTAGCCGTGTAGTAAACATATGCCTTCAGCGTGAGCTAATGATCGATCTGTGATAATAAACGTCGGTTCTGTTGTTAATTGTTATTTAAAGTTGTGAAAATGCCGAAGAATACCACCGCCGGCTTCACCAAAGCCGATGGACGCAATTTGCCCGTCGTAAACGACGAAACTTTGAACAAGTTCCTGGAGGAGAATCTGGACGCTGAACCGGAGCTTCGGCACGTCAAGGTAGCAAGGTAAGTCACTACAAACGTTTATGTTCTTTAATATTTCCCTCTGAAATGACCTCTCAAGGGTCTCTCAGCACGCGGATGATCGCAATGTTCTCTAGCGTGATTATCATCCAGTATTTTCAAGGCGTAAACAAGACAGTTTCACAGGGTCTAACCTCATTGTTTTGGTACGCAAAGTAACAATCTCCAGCTAAAGAAGTGGATGCTCACACACAGTAATCAAAGTTATCATAGACTCTGGATGACACAGCCTACTTGGTGACCTGAGTGATCCCTTAGGAGTGGGCTGTGGCTCTGCCTATTGAAGAAACACACCATCGCTCCTAAGCTGGTAGCAGAGAGCAAATCTAGTTGGACATAATGATCTAGATCTACCATAACTGTGTGTGCATGAGACAGTTAAGTAGTTTTGGGAATTTTCAGTGACCAATTCATTATCAGAGAGAAGTCAACCATAAATAATCAACATTTTCTGCGTACATAGTGGCGAATTCAAATAGCGCCAAGAAAGACTTTCTTGGCCGGAGTTTTTCAGTCATTTACTAACCTATGGATCTTGATTGTGACTGCTAGAAAATTTCATCTTTTAAATTATTTTCCTCCCTGTTTCACAGATCCTGTCGCTCAACATATTTCCTGAAGGCTGTTGGTTTTGTGGAGGTGAGGCGGGATGGTGACATCTGCTATGTGAGGGGGAAGGTTACGCCTGAACATCGCGTCCGAAGCCCCAGCTACTCGGTCACATGCAGCATCCACGAACTGGAGAATAAAGTGCTGGAGGCCAAATGTTTGGACTGCGTTGCATCTGAAGGTAAGCAGCTTTTTGTTTCAAGCCAATACTTTCATTCTTGCAAGCATAGGTTTTACCTTATGTGTAGAGCTTGAACTAAATGAAAATGGAAATTTTTGGGCAGACTCAAATTCTTCTATTCCCGTTAATTTGGATGGCAAAATTATTCCTGCACCCCTGAATCAAAAATTTCCTCTGTGATTGCCTCTGTCAAGAGATCGTAGTTCACCAAATCACTCATCAACCCTTACTCTGATTTTCATGAGCGTATTTATAAATTCTGTATTTCTTATTTTTACAGGGGTCTGTAAGCATGTAGTGGCCTTCATTGCCTGGCTTCGATGGAAGAGTGAGGAAGTTGCGCCAACCTCTAAAGAGTGCTACTGGAAGAAGGCGCGGCTCTCTGATGTTGGCACTAAGGTTAAATTCGTGGAGGTTTCTACAATGAAGCGAAAGGCCCCAGAAAAATCTCCACCAATTGATCTGGACGAAGGTGAAGCAATGTATAACCAACCCAGCAGCAGCAACCAGAACTGTCGCAGCGCAGAGAATAGTAAACATCCTAACCCGGAACAAAAGGAAGGTTTTTTTAATTTTCTAGTCTCAAAATTGAAAGAAAATCAAAGCAATGCATTATTGTTGAAGCAAGTTTCAGAGACGACATCATACTCCTTGTTCCATCTGATGATCGCATTCAAAAAAACGGAACTTCCTCATAATGCCCCTAAGTTCCTTAGATTTTGTCGCTCCCTAATGAATATGAAAGAATGCGAGCTTATTTATGAAAGAACGAAAGAACAGGCGCAGTGTGCTGAGTGGAATGACATGCGGTTCGGGAGGGTTACAGCCTCCATCCTATGGGCTGCAAGCAGATGCCTGACGCCTGATGGCAGCCTCGCTAATCAAATTGCAGGTGCTTCGTCAATTCCAGACACGCCGGCAATGAAGAGAGGCCGAGAGCTTGAACCTGATGTGTTGGCCAATGTTGGTAGAAGGTATAACGGGAAGGTTCAGAAACGTGGTATCAAGTTGCATCCTGAAATTCCCATTTTTGGGGCATCGCCAGATGGCATCTTAAAAAATAAAGTTGTCGAGGTTAAATGTCCTTCAACTTATGAACGCTTTAAAGAATACTTCAGCAAGGACATGACGGAGCCAGCACCTGTGTATAAAGCACAAGTTATGCTTCAATTGCTTATGTGCAAGAAAATGAAAGGATTATTTTGTGTAGCTGAACCCTCTTTTAAGACCACAGGCCACGTCACTGTAGTAGAAGTTACTTTAGACACAATATTTTTGAAAGATATCATGTTGAAAGCACTAAAGTTTTGGAAGGACAACATCTACCCTCGCCTGTACAATGCCATTTCCTGAAGTAACAGGTTTCCTTTCGTTTGTTCCAGCAGGACTTAATGTTGGTGCTGATTTTTGTAAGAGAGTTTTTTCATACACTCATTTTAGACTTTAATTTACTTGCTATTACTAATGTAGTAATTTTTTTGTGATCCAAGTTTTCCATTTGTTTTTGGAGAGTTCCTACGGATTTTGGTGCAAGTGGCGCTCAACTCATGGCTACAGCTTCTCAATGAAGTAGTTATGATGCGCTTAGTCTTACGCACAAGTTGATGCGTCACATGAAGTTATGATCATGACAATCCTAATAGTTTGTTGTTACTTTTACCCGTGATATTTAGATAATTATTGTTTTAAGTAATAAACCTTGTGTTCAGTTTGTGTAATGTAAAAATAGTCTTGGAGCAGAGATCTGCTATAGATGAGGCAGACCTGAGTCCTTGAAACTTTAAGTGAGAGCTTCCTCAAGCCTTGCGCAGCAAACTTTCCTCATCTTTAACAGGGCTTCACCATAAAGTGCCTCAATTTCTTATCTTGTCCTCTGATAAATTAATATATCACTAGTGATAATAATTTGACTAGTCAAGTTGATTGCTTCACTGAATCCTGTCGTATAAATTTACACAGGCATTTAGGATAGTGTCTTATTCTTTGTTCTTCCTCTTAGTGTAATAATATCCATTAAGTATTTTTTTAGCTATGCCTTTTCCACCAATTACGTTCATTTATTTTATTGTAGTTTTCCCTCATGGAGTCAATTTAAGTCAAAAATTTTAGAAATTAAGTCTTTAGTGTGCTAATTTACTTACAGTAGACACCTTGGTTTATGCTAGTCTCTCGATGAAGTCAATGACAGTCAATAATGTTTTGCATAAGGTGATGTGTGTGTCATTAGCCTTTAAAATTTTGTGTCGATCTAATAATGTATTCATGTTTCTATTGCCTCTTGCTTCACTGAAGTTAGTTGTAGTCCGAAATTGTCTGCGCAAATAGTTTGGTTTGTTCGGCTCATTTTATATGTTACTTCAATGTGATTTACCCTTCAGGTCTTTCGATGAAGTCTATGTCAGTTATACATTTCCCACATGAGGTGATTTCCTTGTTACTTGCCTTTAAACTTTCACACTGATTTAATTCTGTTTCTGTTTCCTTTATCTTTAATGAATTTAGTTCTAGTAAAAAATTGTCTGCTTAAATTAAATAGTTTTGTTTGTATATCTCCTTCCTCATTACTTTTTAAAAATCCCCCTCCCCCCCTTTCCTCTTTTCTCATTTGCAAAGCTCAGAACATCACGATGATAAATCAAACTAGATAGTAAACTTAATTTCAGCACATCATAAGATTTAACTGAGTACTAAATGGACATCATAGACCGAATGCAATGTAGCTGCACAGGAACTTATAAAAAATTTTCTATGCATTTCTCTCTCTTGCATAAGAACTTTAAAATATAATAGATAAGCTGACACTAAAACTTTCTATGTAACTAGCAGTCAATTATTGCTGCAATTTGACTTTCAAAATAAAACTTAAATTAGGAAAGAGGCCACTGACTATGCTTCAATGCTTTTTCATCTCCTCTCTTAACAATGGTAACCTTTAAAACTAAAAAATAAAAAAAAAGTAAAAAAAAAAAATAATAAAAAAAGAGAGATATAAAAGAAAGAAAAAATGCAACGCACAATTTTTACACGTACAAGGCATAAGATTGCCTAATCCTTATTTCGATGGTCGAAAATTTGATGGGGAAAAAATTTACGGAGAGTACATGGACTGCATTTTGCCGAAAGGAACCAAGAGCATTGCAATGTCGCTAAGGTTGTGCAACTGTTTTTACCTTATTAACATAAAGTGATCTTCTAAACAAGTTATATGCTTCTCTCCTCCTAATTGACTATAAATTCAAGAAGAAAAGTACCTTTGTAAGAATAATTTTTTTGCATGATTTCAGCAGTTTTATTGCAAAGAATGTCAGTTGCACAATCCCAGCCACATTGGAATGCTCTTCATTACTTTTTGCAAAATGCAATCCATATATGCTGTAAACAAAAAGATCTAGAAACATTGAAATGGTTAGTGTTTTTATTTCTAATGAAGAAACATAATACAATTAAAATTAAGCGACTAATTCGTGAATATAAAATAATATCTTAAAGAATAAAAATTCATGCAAATGATACTTTTTAAGTTATCATCCTCCTTAATACTAATCATGCTATATTCCCTTCAAGGGTTTTTATTTCTGTAAGTAAGCAGGAAAAAATTAAATATTTTTGGGAACTATTTGCATAAATTAAGGAATAAATGTGAGAGCATAAATTCATTAAAATAATGCCGTGGGCTCAGGTACATGTTTGAGGTAAATTAAAATCATAGTGCTCTCACTTGCAATACTCCTTAAAAATGATTCGGATCAAATTAAAATTATGCACGCCCTTGTAAATGCTACTTCAAAAGTGGTCCGCGTTCAGGCAAAAGGAGTCGTGCTGTTTGAGAGTTTGTCAGGTATCACAGGGCAATTTGAAACCTTACTAGAATATAGTTGGAGGAATTATTTTGAAAAGTTTCCTCCTTGCGAGTAAAAAATTCAGTGAAATGTGCAGATGAATCCTCACAACTTTTTGATTATAAAAGATTACTTAACTTAAAAATGAAATACTACCCGAAAATCAATCAAATATACATTGAGAACTTAAATAATATTTATTCATTCAAATGATAGTCTTAGAGGTATAATCATTGATCGAATGATACAGTCAAACATAATCAATGGTCCCGCCTATTAGGGATTACAAAAAAACAGCGGATTCATATTTTATCTGATCTCTGTGTCAATGGCTATCTGACCTTATAGGAAGTGAGGACCTTGTAAGTTGGATAAAGCAGCTGCAATTATTACAGCATGATCAATAATACCTATGAAATTATGATTGAAGCAAGCACGAGGATCTAGTAATGCGTATCCTCTTAGACGTCCGATTACTCTTTCCACATGAATTCTTAAACTAGCTATAATCTTTGTTTCCTTAATTTCATCTTTACTCATTTTGACACCCCCTTCAACTGATGGTGGCCTTATGAGAGAACAATTTCTTTTATGCAGTTCGACTTCTATTTGCTTAAATCCTCGATCTGCCATGACAACAGTGTTCTTCTGCAGCATATCTAAGAGCCCGCTTTGACTGACAATTTCAGAATCACTGGCCCGCCCTCCATAGCCTTTTGATATAAAATTGATGAATCCATCTGGTGTGGTTGAAACAAGATATTTAACAGTATTATTTTTTTTATATTCAGACCATGTCAGTGATTGATGCTCTGGATCAGACAATTGCTGAATGTGAATTTCAAAGCAATCAAGTAAGCATTGAACATCCGAGTAACGAGCTTTGAACTGGAATGGGACATTGGCTCGAATGATTTCTTTCTCTGGCCAACGAATGAGCGTAGCCATGAATTGAGAAATTAGAGGGAAAGTTTTTGAGAGAATACGTGATATGGTAGATTTGCAGAGTCCAAAGTATATGGCTAGCATTTCTATTGGCTCATCAAGACGTATTTTGCGCAAAACTATACAAATGTTTCTTTTACTGCAATTCGTGAATTGTTCCAGAGCATCAATTATACATAAATTGACTGGATCTATTCCTAAAAACAGTTTTGGATACTTTAAGGTCACCTCATTCATGACAGAAGATATACGACCTTTAAATTCCTCTTCGATGACCTCTTCTTCCAAATATTCCTCATCGGCCTCCTCTTCCAAATGATCCTGATCAATTTCAAGCGCGTCCAAATTGAAAGAAACATCAGATTGTGATGGAGTTTCAGCAGCACTGCTGCAAACGCTTTCATCCAGCGCGGATTGCTGCTCAGAAGTATTTGAAGAGCAACTAGCATTCAGGTCGAGTGCTACCACATCAGCGTCTCCTGTTCCCTCAGCTTCATGGAACTGTGAAGAATGTGGGTTATTGTTTGTAGCTTCCGATGTAGCCTCCGTCTGAGTGCCTCGACAACATTTATATCGAACTACACGAACCCAAAGATCATCGCACTGGAAAGATGAAAAAACAACAAAAATCAGGGCTTTGCTGCATAAGAGTGCAGTATGAACACTAAATAGTGTACTCAAATAAATAGTGTATTTTCTTCGGTAAATACATTTGAAAGGACAAGTGAATGAAACAAAAAGTTGTGTGTTGGTAGGCTTGTTGCACATTACAATGATTGATGAAGGCTTCCATGAAAAATAAAAAGGAAAGTAGTCCAGTTTTCATACAGAACAACCACTGCTAAATAGATCACTTTGTAGTGTAATTACTGGTATCAAAAATGATTGCTCTCAACTACTCAAAGGCTGCCAACATTGAGTTTTGCATGCATATACTTTCAAATAAGGAACGCTCGTAAGCATTACATTTACCTGAATTCCAACATCTTTGAATTTGGGCTCTGCTTCGATTACATTCTGGCTGAGCGATGCTGAGACATCCAAAGCAGCATCAATGTCAGAAGGATTTTCCGATAGCGTATTTTCAATTCCACATTCCATGGCCTGGACAGTTTCTTCCTTCTTGTGCATTTGATTTGTAATGTCTCCCAAAACTTGCTGCTTGGCAATTCTGCTTTTTTTAGCAGCTAGACTCCTAGGAGCTTTGGCGTGGCATGTTTTTCGATTCGGTTGACAGTCAAATTTGTGAGGTAGGATTCCTTTCTTCAACCTCAATCTGAAGATTGGCATCTGATGCTCCTTCAAAAATTTATACCGGTACCAGTCTTCAACATCATCTTCAGGCTGAAAGAAGAAAGCGTACTTAGAAGTATGACAACAAAGTTTCCCTGATGTGACTTTCAAAACGTGAGAAACAAAACATCCTAGCTTGCACTCACGCAAGTGAGGCGAGGAAGTGAAATGTCAAATAAGCTAGGTGAAAGGAACCAAACTGAATTTACTAGAGCTGGGCGGTATCACTTTCAGTTACACCAGAATAGTTAGGACCTGAATAGGTTAGCTGTAAGGTTGATAACTATTGTAGGTATGTAACTGAAAGGTATGCATCCTCTACATATACATCTCTTGTTCCATTTGGGGGAATGATTTGCATACAGTACAGCTTGCGAGACATTCTGAAGTTCAGGGAGGTTAAGATAGAAGTAGGTACCTGGTAGGTCTTATTAATCACAACTGCAAGGACAACTTGACAGTGCAGCTTGGCAAAGCACTGATCATAAATGCTGAGACACTTCTGTTCATGTTCTGCAGATAAGAGAGTTAAAGAGATTTGCTGAACTTGCTACTAGGTAAATATGATTGCAAATTTCATATGCGGCTTTACATGATAGAATTTATAAGTAAGTACTTACTGTAAAGTGATCTTCACAACACCACAATGGTATGGTCAAAGACACGGGATCTCGTCTCACCATAGAGAACCATTTCTTCCGAACGGCACCCGTGGGCACATTGAAAAATAACTTGTCAGGTGTTGAAAGTTTAGTATTCCGACATTGAGGCACGAGACAATAAACGTGTCTCCCTTTGGAAGTCATATTTAAGGGGAAAAATCAGAAAAATGCACTCGCTGCGATAAAACATATACGCTATCAGCCACGCACTGCAATGTAAACAAATCTCCTTTGGTAGTTGTGACGTCACGCCCCCGCACCGTTCACTCCCCACACACCGATTTTAAATTTTCCCGCCAACAAATTTTGAACTTTGATGAGCTTTTTTGGGGTGTTCCGGGGGTCAAAAAATTGAAAAAAATGGGAGAAGTAATTTATGGAGGGCTCCTAACCTAAACTTGACTGTGAACAATTAAATCAACTTTAGAGGAATTGAAAATATCAACCTGCCGGTGGCGCGGACTTGGAGCTACGTTTCCTAGAGAGTCTTTTCATGAGGCTGGAACATCTCTCTCCCTTTCGGGACCGTTGTTCCGCCGTCGTTGCAGGATCCACTTTCTCAGCAATTTGTCCGAGTGTTCTAAAAAACAAGCCTGAAGATGGATACCCAAATAGCCCCCTAGTGGGCAGTTCACACACGAAAAAACACCGCAAAGTGAGTCCAAATTTGCTCGACGCCGGGATTTTCGGGATCTGGCACAAAGCATTTTTCGGGTCCTCGCAGTGTTCTCGCTCGTCTTTTCGCAGCTTTTCGAAATTATTGAGGGCCGCTTGACACTTAGCGTTGGCTTTTA